ACCACGTTTCGTGTCACACCGGAACGAACTTCGGGACGCGTCATAATTACTAGAAGAACTAAGTTTAGTAGGGCTTGACGGGATGAAGCGCGCCGAGAGTGGGTACGAACAGTAGTGGTCCAAGAGACTGACGGTGATGTCCGCCCACCCGTGCCTGTCAAGCTCCCACCCTTTGACGTTCTGACGGGCTAAAGATCCCTGGTATATCATTGTGCGATTCTCGTCGGATGGGTCTAGGTCCTATACAGTACGTTGGACGGTGAGTTGGACAACTAGCAGAGGCTTGCGTGACGTACTATCAATTCCCCTCGCTCGAAGACAAGACTTTCGATGAGATTGCGTACTTTAACCTTGCCTAGAATAGGTTGTTTATACCTTACACCAAGAACACGGTAACTGGACGTACCTTCGGCGGCCGCAATGCCTGGTTGAGTAGATTTGACTAACCCTTCCAAAACGCCGAGGATCAGGGGTATACTTTCAAGATCAGGGTGGCCAGGAGGTGTGAGCTTTAGGCAGTGCTCCAAAATGAGCGATAAACGGGGAAGCCGAGTGACAGGACGAGAAAGCAAGGATATTAGATCTCGTTTCTTAATTCGGGTGTCTTGAGAACACTGCTCGATAAACTTGGAGTATTCCTGGTTAAACTTCAGCTCTTTCCTGTGGCGACCTTCTGCGATTGGGTAATTCTGAGATAGGATTTTGGTGAGTAGCACGGGCTTCTTACAGCCGTATGAACGCACCTTGATATATATTTCATATGGCTCCTGAAACCCGAACGACGCATCCAAGATGAGATCCGATAGAGACGTGACGACAGGATGCTCCCTCCGCTGACGCTCGAAAAGGGAAGCGAGCAAGCTCTCATGAATCTTCTCTACATCGGAAATATTCGCGAATACGTCCGTTATGAAGCTTTCCAACTCATCCGCTGGGGCGATGATAGGGGGATTTGCGGAGAGTAGAGGAACGACGAAAATCTGGGCAGAAGCAATTGGTCAAAAATCGAACTGAGCTGGAGTAGAGTAAGGGAGCTAACCTGTTCCACCATCTGCATGTCAAGGACATAGTCTCTCTCTGACTTGATGACTTCGAAAAGCACGGATTGGCGCTGAACTTCTTTTCGATCTAGCGCCTCTCTTGCTGACTCGGGACAAAGCTTGTGCCATTCTTCATCTTCTTCGGGAAGATCCCCTTCTTGAAACCGCTCGATGCCTTCTTGCTGAAGTCTAATAGGATAGCAACATACGTGATTCGACCTTTGCCGGGAGAGAGGACTGCTTCAAGCACCTACGCACTGAAGCTCTGTCATTTGACCAGAAAGCTCGTCTAACCCATACTAAGCCAGTGAAATTGTGTCAGTGGTTATTGGAAATAGGCGTGATTGCAAGGAACATCTAACCTGCGCAGTCGCCCGTGCGGTGCGGTATGACGCCACAGACCGGCGATCATCATCGTCCTCGGCCCAGCCTCCGTAATACGACGCTCTACCCTGGCTCTGGTCGCTCACTCTTTGTTCTAGGGCTTGACGGGGCGATTCGAGATGTTCCGCTGCGGTGGGCGATTGCACCTGAGGCTCGGGGAAAGCCCAGAATGCGGCAGCTGACTCTGAATCCCATTGAGACTGGAGATTACTGGAAGCTGGGGCATAATCTCTTGGGATAGCAAACGGGCCTCGTATAGGCGGAGTTATCTCCTGGCCGTCAGAAACAAGGCCGTAGTCGGTGTTCAGTTGACCTTCAAGCTCGTTCCAGCCGTTGACATGCCGTGAGCCGGAGCCAGACGTTGATGGCTCTGGCATTGACCATTCTTCCCATTCTGATAGTTGCTTTTCTGGTTTTCTGAAGCGACTCATGCTCAGCCAGTTGTGGGATGATGGACGCGCGCTCCGAGGGGACGCTGATGCTATACAATCGAACTCGGACCCTGGGATTTGAGTTTGGACTGCACTGGAGATTTGCCTCCTCATCTCGCTGAGCGCGTACCCACCCACCTCTCCAACTCCTCCTCTTTTCGCTCATGACGAAACGAACCGCAAACGAAGCAGTCCTGCCACTCCCAAATCCAAGGCCTCAGAAAAGGATTTCGCCTGATAAAGATGCCAGTTCACAGGGTGTAGCAGGCCAAATCGCCAATACACTGTACTCTTTTATCTGGAGGGCCGCCGCAGAGGCCATCAGTAGCTTGCCGACAACGAGTGAGAGAGAATTTGCTCGCTTTGCGGGGACATTTCAGCTGAGCGAGCGGTTGTTGCAGGTGCAGACGAGGAAACAACATCCTCAACAGGGAGTTCAAAGCCACGTCCTGTCAAGCAGGGAAATGAATCTCCTGCCAATCACGACGATTCTGAAGCTGGAACTAGTCCCTCAAAGACATCTCGTCCACCAATTCCATCCGCTCCACCACCACCGCCGCCGCCGCCAGCAATTGTCACTGGCTCACCTGCCACTCACCAACCATCCAGCCTCACCATCTCATCCTCAACTACGTCTTTCCACACGGCACTGGCACCACCTTCTCCAGAATCATCCTCACTCCTGCACTCTCCGTTCAAAGTACCATTTTCGCCTTCGCCAACCAGATCAGAAGCAAGAACACCTCTTGTGCTGCGCCGAGATCCTTACGCCCCCAGTCCCTCCCCGAGAGCTCTTCAGACAAATGTAAATCGATTCCAAGCACCTCGAAGTTTCCAGGTTACTCCGGTCCTAAGCCGAGGCTCTGAGCAACTCTCATCTTCGCTTCCGCCATCCGCCCTGAGCAGGAATCGGTCCCCAGGAACGCCACTATCCCAACGCAGACCTCTCTTCAGTTCTGTAACATCCAGGATCGGTGCACCACACTTCGGCTCTCCTTTAACAAGATCTGGGTCAGTATCTCGGCCGCACTCGAATGGCTACCCGTTGGGTTCGAACCGTGGCTTGGGTGTCAAACAGTATGCTCGGTCTGGCCATATTCATGAGCAACAGGTAAGTTCGCACAACTTTGTTTTCATCCTTGGACCTTCCAGCTTATCTATGTGACTGGGAATATAGCATTGGCAGAGAGTGCATGCTCGCTTAACACAGAATTCGATTGTGGACTACGACAAGTTCTTGCAAGCGAAGACGAACGGCTTTGGAGGAGATTATCAGGATTGGGTCAGCCGCGAATCATATAGGCAACTACTTGAAAGCTCAGATCTCCTCAGCCAGTCAAGTAAGTCTTATTTTTGTGGTCACTTTTCCGACAGCCGATACTAAGGCGACTCTACCTTCCACAGCGGCAAAGAGAGCTGCTGAACTTGGAACACGGTCAACTCCTCTGGATGCGTATCCAGGCACTCCAAGCTCAGTGTCACGCGCACCGTCCAGTCTTGGCACGCACAGCGATGCGACGAGCCTTACATCCAGCCAGAGGTCGCGCCGCCCGAGTATTGGATCCATGACTTCTGAAGGATGGTCACCACCACGTTCCGAGAGTTCAGTTAGTACTGCACGGCCGATGCGAATGGGAGATCCCGCCGGTGCTCTATTTGGTCCCCGACACACTGCAACCGACCGACCACTGCCGAAACGAAGTGTGGAACTGGAGAAGGCTCTAGCTCGGGCGCGGGCTGCTCTAAACTACCCCCGAGCACCCCAGCCGGATGCTGCTGCATTCCGACGCCTTGAACTAGAGAGCCGGAAGAAGGACGAAGAAATCGCAAAACGCATCAGAGCTGCGAAGCGGAAGAAGGTACCGGCCGAACTGCCTGCCCGTCATGCCGCACTCGTGAAGTCATACATGCAGGATCGGAGTTTCTCAGTCAAGGTTGGAAGGGAAATGGTGACTGCAAAGGACATTGGGAGATTAGGTCCTGCGTCGTGGTTAAACGATGAAATCATCAACCTCTGGGGAGCAATGATCATGGAACGGGCTGAGAGGTATAAGGCAACAAAATCTGGAGCAGCTGGTACGTGGCTATTGCATATTGAGAGCTCGTGTTTTAAGTGACTGTGGCTCGTCAGGTGTCAATGGGAAAGGCAAAGAAAAGGAACTGCCAGATGATGACGACTCAGATCCAGGTCGACTCGGCCACCCAGAACCTCTGCCAAATGTGCATTATTTCAATACTTTCTTCTTCCCAAAGCTCGAGAACGACGGCTATGAGAAGGCGAGACTAGGAAAATGGACGAAGACAGTGAGTTTCTGTGAAGGTTCTCAGGTAACCCGCCCAATGCTCATCAAAAACTCCTCGGAAAGATCGACATTTTCTCAAAAGATGTGATTCTCGTGCCGGTGAACCTGGGTAACGCACATTGGACTTGTGCTGCCATCAATATGAAAAAGAAGCGGATCGAGTATTATGATAGCATGGGCTCCCCGCGTGAAAAAGTGTATCAGGTAAAGGCGCCAGTTTCTCCACCAAAAGACACATCTAATGCCTCATTCACACTAGGTCCTGAGAGATTATCTGGAGAAGGAATACAAGGCAAAGAAGTCGAAGCCCTTCAATTTTGACGGCTGGCAAGATTATTGGAGCGAAGTAGGTCGTGCACCTTCCTTCAGAACCCCTTTCTAATAATCACACAAAAACTGTATCGATAGGAAACACCTCAACAAGAGAACGGATACGACTGTGGGGTGTTTATTTGCATGTTTATGGAAGGTTTGAGTCGTGGGGAGGAAGCGGAGGACTTTGTATTTGGGCAATCGAATATGCCGTATCTGAGACAGCGTATGCTGTATGAAATCGGACGAGGAAAATTGTCGTGATGGCGTATACGTAGATTATACTTTCGCTTGCTGTGTTGCATCTCCTCTGAGCTTGCTGTTTTTATTCCATGGTCTATCTCATCATTGCGCATCGTAGCGAACCCTCCATGTACAGTAGAAATGCCCTGCGCTTGAGATGCCTTAGTGCGTAACTCAGTAAGCTGGTGCTTCGGTTCAGTGCCGGTTTGAGTAGACGAGTGGTGGGATGTACCATGCCGGCTTCGAAAATATGCTCATAACTTGATAACAAAAATTCCTGCTGTCCAGGTGAGATGGCCGAGCGGTCTAAGGCGCCAGATTAAGGTAGTTTGAGCATTGAGCTTGAGTACCTTCTGGTCAGAAATGGCGTGGGTTCGAATCCCACTCTCATCATTCCTTTTGCTTTTGTTTTTGTCTCTTATTACCGGGCGCTGCGAAATAATTCCGAATAGCAGGACATTAACTCTCAGACTCTTCACCTGAGCAAGCGAACGAATGAAGGTGGCCCAGCTGCTTGCATGTTCATGACGGGAACGCGTTCGGCTTCGCCCTCAGTATTTCTATCGCCGAGAGCTTGTCGGAGGAACGGACCTGCCTTAATGCTATTAAGCTCCCCGTATGTCGCGTTTTTTCCCGGCTAGGCCCTATCGCAACGTGTGCAAGTCATATTAGCTTTTAGCTATGGGCGTCAGAACGCACCCGATCGCAAGACAGAGGGTATTCGCGAGTTAAGGCCAATGCGAGTAAATTGGTAAGCATGAGACTTTCAGTGAGCAAGGATAGGAATAATTGAGCGGATGGACAACGCTTGAGCATCTTACTGTACTCAGTGCGATGAACGGTTTAAATAAGTTTACAGGGGGATGGTTACGCCGGAACAGACGAGCGGAATTGAAAACATTGGTGGGAAAATTGTGGGCAGGCACCGGATATGACCTGAATTCTGGGTGTCTAGTTTCATTATATATGTCATCAGGAGCACGTTTTTGACGCAGGCAAGCAGACGCATGTGTGCTTGGGCTTTCGTTGGCCTCAGGTCAAAGGCGTTGCTTCTCACGGCTCTTTTCGACTATTGTTTCGTTGCGGACCACACCACCCAAGATCGACTATGGCCAAGAAGAAGAATAAATTCGTGAGTTCCTTCATGGAAAATACCGACTACTCATTATTAACAGTTTCTACGATTATAGGTGCTCAAACCATGGTGCTGGTACTGCGAACGAGAGTTCGAGGACGAGAAAGGTACGCGCTGACGGCGGTTTCAAGCGTGTTTGTAGAGTTAACGATGTCTTAATTAGTGCTCATGCAACACCAAAAGGCGAAGCATTTCAAGTGCAAGCACTGTCCTCGTAAACTCAATACCGCCGGAGGTCTTGCTGTTCACGTTCAGCAGGTGCACAAGTTCGATCCCGACAAGTAGGTGACCCCAACCCTAAGCATTCCAAAATCTGACCTGAATTATCAGAATCGAAAATGCTCTACCTGGTCGAGAAGGGGGAGAAGTTGAGATCTTCGGTATGGAAGGGTGGGTTCACGTCTTTTTCTCCTAGACCGACTTGGGATAGCTGACGAATGCCATTTGCGCAACAGAATACCAAAAGAGTATGTCGCGCATTGATAAGGATCATTTAAACGTGCTCTCATCACTTGACTGTCCTTTACAGTGATGTTGAGAACTGGAAACGTAGGAAGGAACAAGAGCTTGGCCTTGCCGCAGGTTCCATTTCTCAACCGCCCACCAAGCGCGCTAGGACGGATCTTCGACCGCTAAGCGAAGCTGAACTACGGGCACAGCTTCTTGCACATATCGCACTCATGTCCGGTAATGACACATCCACAGCTGCGCCAAGTGGTGCTACGGTTTCCGCTGGTCCCACCGCAGCTAGTGTCGTCGCAGCGCCTCAAGCTTATGCACAACCACCTGTTCCTTTCCCTCCGTCCGCTGCTGGTGCCCCTCCAGTACCCGGTGCGATTCCACCTTTCCCCCCGCCAGGAGCTCCTCAACCTCCTTTCTCATTACCACCCGGAGCTCCTCCCGGCATGGCTCCGCCGTTCCCACCTGGGTAAGCGATTGCTTTGAGCCATCAATATGTATTACTAACACCAGTTACCCAGTGTCGTGCCTGGTCAGGCCCCCCCTTTCCCTCCAGGTATGCCTATGCCGCCCTTCCCACCAGGAGGCCCACCTCTTCGGTTGGGCGGCCCTCCCATGCCTGTTCCCCCTCCCAACGTTCCAAGGCTCCCTGGAGCGGCCCCTCCAGGTGCTTTGCCTCCTTTCCCTCCGACAGGAACTGCGCCGGCAGGTGTTGGAGCACCACCGTCACAAAATCCTGCCACATCATCTTCTCCCCCCAGTTCGTCGCCTGCCTCCTCCCAGCCCCCAGCGACCGTGGTTCCGGTTCCGACTCCCAGACCCGCTGAGCCTCTTGCTGAGGTGAAAGAAGGTTCGAAGCTTATGTGGACTAATAATACTAAATCGCCAGTAAGCACCGCTGTGAAGCTTGCAGGGTAAGCGCTGACAAAGTCATTTCCAGGACGAGATTCGCGCTGAGAGCTCAAAATATGCCTACGAGATTCCTCGTAGCGGTTGGATTCAGCAACCTTCGCAGCAAGACGTCACCATGGGCGACGCGGAGAGTAAGGGAAGAAAGCGTGCACGTGCGGAAGACTTTATTTAGGCCACTTGTGATTTGTATCTTGTCTATACGACGTTGTACGGTTTACATTCAACGATTGTACACGTTGCTCTACTCTCCGAGCACCAAAACCTGGACCACTCGACCGGCTTACCACGCCGAACAAATACTATAACCTATCGTAGTGCCGGTGGTTCGACGGTAGGATTGCCTCCTTGGCTCGTTGCTGGTGCTTGTTGTTTGAAGAAATGAAGCTCTAACAGCCACGCTTGTGGGATCGAGGAGACTCCCATCGCGTACGTATTTGATGTGACGACCTTTCATCGTCGCAAATGTTAGCCGGCTTCAGAGGTCTCCATGAGGCGAGTACAGCAAACTTACTAGCTCGTCATACATGATTGCAGGGAACTTGCGGCCAAATAGCGAGGATGAGGGGTGAATTTTGACGGGCTAGCAGGGTATGTATTTAGGGAATCATCGCATCTTCGCGATTAGCCAAGTAATGCTTACCTGTCCTCCAACAACCTGCTTGTAGGAGCCATCGGGCGTGATCATCGCGGTATTTTGCCACAGCCCAGCCAGTAAGCATTTCAGGACCCCCTCATCACCGTTGTCGCATCCAGGTTTTTGCGATCGTTCGCTCGCTTTCCAGTCCACGCCCTGCCTTTCACACGTCTCTCGAAGCTGCTTTCGGATGTCCAATGCCTCTTTCAGTGCCCGCTCACTGAGGAAGTTGGCTTTACACCACTCCTTCGCAATATTTCGTTTGCTGGACGACCGACCGTTGGAGTCCATTTCAACTCGTTTGCCTTTGGATCTGCCATCGTCCAACTCTACTTTGGCCCCGAGGACCACCTCCTCATAGGCTTTAAGAACGTTGAGGAGGGTCAAGTGGTCTCCACTCTTGTGTCGAAACTTGAGTTTCGCTTCAGCTGCGGCTTCGCGATCCTTTGAGTCGTAGAAGACCTTGCCAGTGGTTGATAACATAGAAATGACTGAAAGCAGGGATGATGTTGAGTTCGGAATATCTATAGATTCCAGGATCGCCCGTGAACGTGGTGGGTCCAATGGGAAGGAGGCCATCCAACGACCGATACTGGTGACCTCGCCGCCTTCTTGAAGCGCCCCTAGTGATAGTAGGACAAGCAGAGAGCTTTTTACTGTCGTTGCTGAGGTCAACAATGTATGAACCAACTAATAGCTTCGAACCACATACTTGTTTCCTGTGATGGAGCATCCATGAAATCGGCGACTTCCGGATTCTGGCCAAGGCACTTCATCTGGAGGATAGCGTGGGTCAGGTTGCAACGCTGAATCTCCGGAACTGCCGCTTCGGCGAATTGAGTGGTGTAGGCCTGCTCCGTATATAAGCGAAAACACCAGCCTTCTCCCTTGAATGCAAGCAATATCAGCAACGTTCGCTTGCCGAGTAGAACATTCGCACCTCACGCCCAGCCCGACCAGTTCTCTGCAGGGCAGAGCTCTTGCTGATGGCCTGTACCAGAAGCGCATCAACCCCGCTTCCCCTTCCTCGAGGGAAGTATCGTTTCTCCTTGCACAGCCCAGTATCAATAACGTACTTCACTCCAGGTATCGTGATACTGGTCTCCGCGATATTTGTTGCCAGGACCACCTTTCGTGTGTTGTTTGGCGTTCTCCCGAAAACCTTGGCCTGGACTGATGGAGGGAGCGCTGCGTACATCGGACACACCAGCACTTGCATCCTTTCTGGAGGGATTTGTTCGGCGAGCGATTCGATCGAAGAAGCAAGTGATTCGATCTCCTCTTGTCCTGGTAAAAATATCAGAACGTCTCCAGCAGGTCGCTCGGTATGAATTTGAAAGAATGTTTGGAGAGCAGATTCTATGTAATCTCTTTGTGCTTCGGCCGTGTGGAGGACTTTAACTGGATGTTGGCGGCCTTTCACGTATAAAATTCTTGCCCTGAGGCACAGTTACGGTACGGGTAATTATTGGGGCAAAGAAAAGAACTCACCCATTGAAAAAGTCACTAAAGCGCTGGGCGTCAAGAGTCGCACTCATGATGATGACTTTTAGTGGCGATAATTCCTTTCTCTTGCCCTTGTCATCCTTGTTTGGGGGTACTTCGCTTATATGTATCACACCATTTTGACCCGCCTTGGAGCGGTTCCGGGTAGAAAGAATGGTCTTGAGCGACGTCAGTAGCAAGTCTGTTCTTAGCGTCCGTTCGTGAGCTTCATCGACAATAATCACCCCATATCGACTAAGCATGGGATCTCCAAGGAGCTCTCGATCCAACATCCCGTCAGTCATGAACTTGATGTGCGTTTCATCGGAGGTCTTGTCATCAAATCGGACAGAGTAGCCTACCCGGCCTCCAAGAGGGGTTCCTTGCTCCACAGACACTCGAGCGGCCAACGAAGTGGCGGCTACCCTCCGGGGTTGGGTGACAGCAATCATGAGCGGCTCTTGGCAAATATTGGCTTCATATATGAACTGTGGAATCTCTACACGGTAGAATGGTTGAGTGAAGAGAAGCTTGGGAGCGGCGTTTGTTGCACTGACGTGTGGTCTTTCCGCTCCCTGTCTCGCCCAGTATGACAACGCAATCGTGGTTTTTGATTTCGCGTATAAGCGATTTTCGAGCTGAAACCGAACCCGTTGAGAAAGGGCACCCTCAACCGTGGACCCCAACTATCATACCTGACCAGATGGGCAAGCCACGGCGCTGTTCTAAGATGGAGGATGGTCCCGCACCATTGAATTTAGACTTTCC